GAAAGAAAGTTGTTAATTGTTTGCGTAATATCCGGACTTGAATAAGCCTAAGTTCCTATTACTCCTAACAACATCCTAGGGGTACACCTGGGAATCCACAAGGCTCCTAACCCTAGGTTTCATCACCAAACCTCCAACCCAATCACAGTATTTCCCTCGGTGGGGACTCTGCCCCTGAACCCCCACCAGACACCATGGACTTAGACTCTCTGTGGCTTTTTCTTAATTTTTAGTCCCCAACTCCACATCATATACTTAATTCAGAAACCTAAATTGCTGTTACTGAGCATGCCCCTCAGACACTGCTTGAGGGGAGGGTTGATAGGGGGCTCTACCCCCCAGCACCTCCCCGGGTAACATTGCCTTCACTCTGAATGGCTGACTCAGGAGCACTGACTTAGACGCAACACTTTCTGCAATCTTTTTCTTTTATTTTTGGCATTACTATTCATTCTGCTGATTATTTCTTGTACCAACATACACAACGTTTTGTCCTCTATAAGAAAATCATCTTCATTTTGCCCCAGCCATACCATAGACATTAACCATGTTTTGTTTTTTTTACTCTCTTTGTAACAGTACCCTTAGATTTTTCTTAGCATAGTTCATCATTGTGTAAATATATACCAAAAATTTACACTACTAAAACCATTTTTTTAATCATGATAACCAGTTGAAGTCCTTTACCACAATTCCTTTGCTAAATTTTACACAAACACAACTAATCTAATACTTTCTGTGAGGCACTCTGACAAAGGCCACTGTCAGGCATGATAGAAGTTATAGATCACTCTGGCAATTATGTGCTTGTTATGGTTTTGAATATACTGCTTCATCTTACTTTTCTTTGGTCTTGTTTGGTTATAGCAGCAAAATATATTAAAGTAGTTACAGAGACGTCCATGAAAATATGAAGTCTTAGTAGTCTGAAATTTTATCATTCTTCACTACAACATTAATTTACTGCATTTTCTTTATATACATCAGGATCTCCCATATTGTAAACCTCTTTAGTCACATTGCTTAAAAGTCCTCCCTTGATCAGTAAGTAGATATATTGGAGAAAATCCTTTAGAGATAAGCATGAGAAGCTATCACCCACTCGCTATAACCGTAGATAATGTATCAGTATTGCAATGAAATGTATTTATATTTATATATATATATATATATATATATATATATATATATATATATATATATATATATATAATATATATATATATAATATATATATATATATATATATGTATGTGTGTGTGTGGTGTGTGTGTGTGTGTGTGTGTGTGTGTGTGTGTGATCTAAGCACAGAATGGCAGGATGCCAGTACAGTGAGGGATTGGAATTAAAGATCATCAGAGTTAACCCTTTCAAGCTGTTGAAAAATGAATCTGTGCAGTTATATAATTGTTATTATCATTATTGTTATGATGACAATCCTTGGTGGCTGAGCCCAAGGCGAACCGTCAGTATATGTAAAAATTAATTAGAAAATACAGTGGACAGTGTATCTATATGTGTTTAAAGGGTTGAATGGAACTGTGCATATGTTCCTTTATGTATGAAAGAATATTTGGGTTTAACCATTGATGATTTTCTTTACATGATTTTTAATTGATTTATATATATGTGCCTTGTGAAAATTCATATCTATTTCCTGGAATAGGGTTTATTTGTATTTAGGTATTTTACCAAAGTTGTTGCTTACAGCTCTGTCATCAAGAACAGCTTATATGAATTTTCTTAAATGAGTTTACATAGTATAGATGCATGAGGAAAACCACAAACCTTGGAGGATGAAGTATTAGTCTGCAGTTGATAATTCATTGTGTGTGCATATAAGACTTTTGGACAGCTGTCAGGTCTGTGGTAGAATGGGTTAACATGATGACTGTTGTAATTTTCTAACTGCTTTATTCAAAGTAATGCAAGGTAGACCTAAAATGTTGTTAATTCTTTCTTTGCAACACTCATGGAACAGTACAGCGCATGGTCAGGTGCCCGAAATACAGCCTCTTTGATGTGGACAGACTTCTGGGAACTCTCAATGGTATTGTTGCAGGATTGCAACCCTTTTAGACTATTCTGTTGCTGATGCAGTCGATGTCCTTCATTTATGTGTTGTATCTTGGTTGCTGTGTCACGTATTGTAGATATTTTTTTATACATATACATCATACTCAGTTCATTAATTAGATAAAAACTATAAGGGCTTTTTTTGTATGTCAACATCAGTCATAAATGTTTCATAAAATTTTAGAAATTATGATTTGCCCTTTATTTTGTTAATGACCCCTAAAAGGCATGTTTCAGATAGATTAAGGATGCTGTTGTATAATTGTGAATGTCTGATTTATGATTGAAAAAATAAATAAATAGAAATGCACAAAAATATCTCTTATTGTAAGGTCTGTTGACTGCTGGTTTAAACTTCATGCATGAGATAGTTTCACGTTTACTTGCAATACTGTACTGCATTTGTCTTTTCTGTTCATTCAAAGACATTGTTGAAACATGTATTTGTCATGAGTGGAAATATGAAAATACAAAACCACTGTTCACTATTCATATACACATTTGTGATGGATGTACACATGCACAGCAATAGTTATTTATGAATACTTTTTAGTTTTTAGAATGTTTTTAATTGTTGTTGTTATAATTCATTATTGCCATTGAATTTTGCACTGGCATCACTATGCCTCTTATATAGTACTAATGTTAATGTTTTTATTATTGTTTTTATGATTATTATTAGATTTGTTTTTTAATTTTTGTTGTTGTTATTATTATTATTATTATTATTATTATTATTATTATTATTATTATTATTATTATTATTGTTGTTGTTATTATAATATTTATAATTGTTATTATTATTATTATTATTATTATTATTATTATGAAATTATTATTATTATTGTTATTGCTGTTGTTATTATTATTAATATTGTTATTATTATTGTTACTCTTATTGTCATTGATACTAATATTATCATTATTATTATTATTATTATTGTTATTATTATTATTACCATTATTATCATTATTATTATTATTTATATTATTTATTATTATCATTATTATTATTAATTGTATATTATTATTATTATATTATTATTATTATTATTATTATTATTATTATTATTATTATTTTTATTATTATTATTATTATTATTATTATTATTATTATTATTATTATTATTATTATTATTATTATTATTATTATTATTATTATTATATTATTATTTATTATTATTTATTATTAATATTATTGTCATTATTATTATTACTATAATTACTATTATTATTATTAACATTATTATTAACTGTTATTATTATTATGATGATGATGATAATGATTATTATTTACTGTTATTATTATTATGATGATGATGATAATGATTATTATTTTTGTTATTATTATTATTATTATTATTATTATTATTATTCATAATGTCATTATCATTGATATTATGATTATGAAATTTGAAAAGTTATCATTACTACTTACAAATCGATATGTCATTATTGTTTTTATCAAAAGTTGGTCCCATATCCATCTGGACATAAGGGACATGTTTTGTAGAGCAACATGCTTACTAAACTATGGGATGATGCGGTAGGGTGGCCAGTTCCATTTCGCCCCTGCTATGACCCTAGCATGCTGACGTCAGCATACCAGTGCTCATTCACAGCTGAGTCGACTGAGAGGGGCGAACCAAGGACCATGCGATTGCAAAGCCAGTGTTCTACCACTGACCTATGCCACCTCCTTTGTTTTTACATACTCACTTTAATAGTATAGTAGGACACCAACTTTGGTGATCTTTGGATTACCATGGGCCTTGCCTTTTGTAATTACACACTCTGCTTGACTGTTGCTTTATTGACAGCAGTATATAGTTGTTTATGGGTGTTTTTTCTCTGTAATATGGTTTGAAGGGTGTTGTAACTTTTGTATTTAGCATTCTTACTGTAAGAGTCAAAAGCAGGGTTTAAATGAGGTCAGGTTGGGTATTTTCGCAGGCAGGCTTTTATTTGCTTTCTTTTATTTTGCTTCCAATTCTTTTCTTTTCTTTTCTTTTCTCTTCTTTTCTCTTCTTTTTGTCGCTAAGGATGAAGCCCCACTGCACTACAGTTATCATTGTTGTTTATGACAGTAGCAGTTTTGTTGTAATTCTTTGCTTTATGATCACTTATGATTACTTTCCCTAAGTGGAAAAGGAAGAATATTAGTGTAGCATTTTGATTGTTTCTATATGTTTTTTTGTAGCGGTATTTGTTGTGGTGTCGTTATAATTTTTTATTGTTATTATTATTTTAATTTTGTTATTATTTGATTTTTATAGTTAATTTAATTTTTATTATTATTATTTTCATTTCTATTATTGTATTGTTATTATTTTTTTTGTTATTATTATTATTATCATTATTGTCATGGTCAACTTTATTATTATTGTTATTGTTAATATCATTGTCTACACTGTTACCATTAATATAGTAATCATTATTGCATTGTCTTTCAGGTTATTGATAGAAATTTAATCATTATCACAATTGTTATTTATTCTACACTTGATGATATTGTTACAATTGTTATAATCATTATTGTCTGTTCTTCTTTTTTTATCATTATTCTTATTACTGGTGTTGATGACTTTGTTATTGTGGATGTTGTTATTATTATTATTATTATTGGAATGATAAGAATAATAACAAGAATTATTCTATTAATAAATGTTTTTATTATTATTATTATTGTTGTTGTTTTTCTTGTTTTCATTTTTTTATGGTTTTGTTGCTATTGTTACTGTTGCTACAGTGGTATTGCTATTGTTGCTATTGTACCATATTTTCTTAACGTACACAGTGTTAACAGAATATTGCAAATATGACAGTCATGAAAACAAAAAAAAATGTGGCAGTGGAATGAGTTGGTCATGTTAGAATCCGCCATTCTTATGTGATATTTATGAATGTAAAGGACATGTTCATTTAGAAAAAAAAAGACAGGACATGTAGCGTAGTGTTGCCTTCAGTCTTTCACAGTCATGTCATATTTTTGTGATGATAGATAATTGAGTGTCTAGTGAAAATGTGATTATTATGTCTCAAGACATATATATATATATATATATATATATATATATATATATATATATATATATATATATATATATATATATATATACATATATATATATATATATATATATATATATATATATATATATATATATATATATATATATATATATATATATATATATATATATATATATATATATATATATATATATATATATATATATATATATATATATATATATATATATATATATATATATATATATATAATATATACATACATATACATACATATATATATATACATGCAGACTCACACATGTATGTATGTATTATATGTATAAATATATTTATGTAGACTATTCACTCTTGAATATGTTTATTTAGCATTTGGTTTATTAGGTAGCATGGTAAAAGGCAAATATTTAGTGACTTTTTGTTTGATTGATTAAATTATTATACCTTTTATTCCTGTAGGAATTTGATTTTGACATAGTTTACTTTCTGTGTGTGTACGGAGAGAGCACTGGATTTAGACAAGGTTGTTATACTCAGATAGTCCTGTTATACAATTTTGTTATTTTATCTCATTATCGTTGAAAATAGATAGTCTTGACAACCTTCCCACTTCACACCAGGTCAGCAAAGCCACCAAGATCGCCCAAACATGCGAAGAAATGGCCAAGGTAACCTGCAGCTTAGAGTATATCACATTTTGAAAATAAACATAAACCAGGCCACCTGTCTTTAGGCAAGAATACCAGACAATGTTGGAAAAAAGAGAAAAAAAAATACTGAGAGAGAGATTGAAAAAGGAAGATATTGGATGAATATTGAGGACTAAAACAGAATTGGTTGTTATGTATATACATATGTTGTGTTCTTGCTTGAAGTACCAATGCATATGCACACACAATTTCCTTTGTAGGCTGTTGTAACCTTACTGTATGCAATAGAAGGTATACAGGCACTATTCTTGATTCTAGTCATGTATAAGATCTTTCTTTGCCATGACCATTTAATAGACAAAAAAACTAATGCCTACACAGCTTTATAATCTGGATACGTTTTTTTGATTTGTTAATTTAAAAATGGTTATTTGGTTATTTATATTATCTTGTATTACCAAACCTCTGGTGATTTGAAGAACAAGATGTGAGTTTTGTGCGTGTGTGTGTGTGTATTTGTGTATATGTATATATACCACTATGTATATGTGTATATATATTTTCATGTACAGAAATATAAACATAGACATAGGCATACATACATACATACATACACCATACATATTTACACATTTACATATTTACATATATATGTATATGTATATATATTTATTTAGATATATATATATATAAAAATATATATATATATATATTATATATATATATATATATTATATATATATATATATATATATATATATATATATATATATATATATATATATATTATATTTACATACATATATAATGATTTACTTATTTATTCATATACATATATATCATATGCAAAGTTGTGCTTTATTATAAAAGTATATTTTATTTGGTACTGTCTTCATATATAAATGCTGTATATGCATGCTTATGATTTGTAAAATGAATTTGAATTAAATCATTTTAAATGCAGAATATAAAACCACATATTGATTTTATGTATAGAATGAAATTATTGTTTTATTGAATATGCCATTACTTTCTTAAATTTTCACATTCTTAAGAAAACCCTTATATCCCCACAGAGAGCCTTGGCACCTTTTATGACCTCTTCAGTAAGGAACAGTGGAACAGCAACTGAAGCAACCTTTGAGACAAGACCCTACAAATTGCACAAACTTGAGACGCCCCCAAACAGCACGACGTCATGCACTCGGGACGAAGCCCTCACTTTTTATACGCAGATGCAGATGATCAGGAGAATGGAGAGTGCTGCTAGCAACCTCTACAAGGAAAAGGTAATGAAAAATGCCGAGAGTGGTGATTTATTCTCATTTTTGCCATTCTTTGTATTTCCATTTACTTTACTTTACCTTCTGTTGTTATCACAGTGGATTAGTAATCGCTTTGTATACCTCTTGGAAACTGACGTTCAAGCTGGAGAATTTTCTTTCATTGTGATACTGTACTGACCTGGGTTATATTACGTTGCCTTAGATTTACTCCATTCTCGTACTTTCCACAGGCTATTCGTGGATTTTGCCATTTGTACAGTGGCCAAGAAGCTATTTGTGTTGGTATCAAGGGAGCTCTGAGGGCACAAGACTCTGTCATCACTGCCTACCGAGACCATGGATGGGCGTACGTCATGGGTTGCAGCGTCACAAGTTCGTAATATCTAATGTTTTATTAGAACTTGAAATATCTCTGTGTATTCTGAAGGTGATTATGGAATTATTCTCACATGAAAATGCAGATTATACTCTTGTAATCATTCTGTATAAAAGATGATGATGAAGGTGGTTAGAAAAAAATTAATAAATTATTGGAGGGAACCTAGGAAATGCTTAATATGTTATATATAAAAGATGGAAGTTTGTATTTAAAGTACCATCCTCATTACAGCTACTGTTCATGTTACCTGTATTTAGGTGGTAAAGTTTTAGGCTTGCAACTCCTCTTTATAGGAACTGGCATTAGAAGATGAGGAAGTCTTTGGATTTCTTGCAAATATTGTAATGAATAACATTTCCTTGTGGTTTCCCATAAGGAATTTATTCTCCTTTCCTTGCTGGGACATATATATGTAAAACTTTTACTTGTTTTATCTATTGTTACAAAACTTGAATGTTTTGGGTTGGGTTATTAGGGCAGCAGTTTTCATTATTAACATTGGTTTAGATACTGGAGTTTACTTTTCTGAATGAGCTGCTTTATAATGGGTTTTGTAGATACTTTATTTATTTATTTATTTGTTTACTTTTTGTTTTCAAGGTGTGTATCTGAAGATGGCGTGTTCTTTTTATCATGTACTAATAAAAGCATACACTTTCAAGGTATCATGGCAGAATTGACGGGAAGGACACAAGGAATGGCCAGAGGCAAAGGAGGTTCCATGCATATGTACGCTAAGAACTTCTACGGTGGTAATGGTATTGTAGGTGCCCAGGTGCCTGTAGGTGCCGGCATCGCCCTCGCTAACAAGTACTTGGAGAACAATGGTATCAATGTCAGTCTTTATGGTGATGGAGCTGCCAATCAGGCAAGTCTTTGTTGTACTCTTGGTTAATTTAGATTAATAGTGTGTTAGAGTGGCTTTATTATTAAGTGATTGAATCTTTTCTTATATCTGTCTGTAGATTATTACATTTTTCTTTCATGATTAAAAGGACGGTTGTGAATATGAGTTGATATATTGTTTTTCTTTTTCACTTCTCTTGCTTCTTCATTATCCTTTCAATTATTATCATTGTTATTAATAATATTTTTTTTATAATAGATAGTCATTTATAAACTCCTCTATCCTCTCCCACAGGGCCAGCTTTTTGAAGCATACAACATAGCCAAGCTGATGAATTTGCCAGCCGTATTTATTTGTGAGAATAATGGTTATGGCATGGGTACTAGTGTTGACCGAGCCTCAGCCTCAACCAACTACTACACTCGTGGAGACTACGTGCCTGGAATATGGGTAGGCTTTTTAAGATGAAGTAGAAGATTGCTATAAGAATATGAAATCCCGAGTGATTTTTCAGAATTGGCAAAATTACTTTAGGGAAACCATTTGTTTCTTCCCCTGCCCCCCTTATAAAGTAATAAGACAGTTTCCTTGAATTGCTAGGAGATCTTTCTGGGATTGGATACATTTTCCTTGAAATATTTACTTTATTCTGCATATTTTGTAGTTTGATATTTGGATAAGATTTCCTTGCATACCACAGAATCAGCAATTAGATGTAGTTTCTGTATTACCTCAGTTTTAGTCCTTTTAGAAGTAGATATAAAATTGTAAACCTGGGATATAAGGCATACACTAAGGATACTATTTTGTTAAACTACAGATTGATGGTATGGATGTACTGAGTGTGAAGGAGGCCATCAGTTACTGCGTAGAGCATTGCACTTCTGGAAAAGGACCTTTAGTCCTGGAGGTCGCAACATACCGCTACCACGGTCATTCCATGTCTGACCCTGGTACATCTTATCGTACACGTGATGAAATCCAGGAGGTCCGTCAGACCAGAGATCCAATCATGCTCTTTAAGGAACGCATTCTGTCTGCAGATTTGGTTACAGCTGAAGAGCTCAAGGTTTGTATAAGTAAAGTTCCTTGTTTGAGAATATGAACATTTTCTGTATAATTTTTTTCCACAATAGATGCTATTGTTTGCATGATGCCTGCTGGATTACAGTGTCATTATAGAATTACTTTAATAAAAGGTCAGGGTGGAGTAATGTTAATTTTATAAAAGAGATACAATGTCATTTACCGTGTCTTGCAGAAAATCGATGGTGAAGTGCGCAAGGAAGTTGATGAGGCTGTCAAGATTGCAAAGACAGACAAGGAAATTGCTGTCCAGGAGTTGGCGGCTGATGTTTATTCTAACCCTCTGGAGATTACCATCCGAGGCACTACTCCTTATGATCCATACACACATCAGCGTCTCAGCAAAATTATTAACCAACATTGATCTGACAAAATGTCCAGCACTTCTTGCTTTAGAAGGCTATGTAGACAGCAGGTTGTTTCTTTAAGTAGTTCCATGTGTGACAAGTATTTCCATCATCTGTAGACTTTCAAATGTATTTTTGGCACAATGTACTAGAATGTTATGATTTGCTGTTGAAAGATGAAACCTTCATGGAGTATTATGTTGTTATTAATGTAATTTTTTATCTTTTTATAAAATCTCAAATAACCATATTGTTTTTTTTTTTCTTCTATAGGTGTTCTGCATTTTTTACTGTTTCTGTAGGAAAACCAGTTAATCAAATTGTTATTCAATATATAGCAAATCATTTTAGGAAATTTTTTTGTGTCCACTGGAATCATCAGCAACCATATGTTCAGATTAGGTAGTTTTCATTAAAAATATATATATTGCTGAATAAAGATGTAAATATAATTTTAAGACAGTTCTGTATGATAAAATGAATATGTAAAACTTGGTATTTCATTTAACCACTTCATCCTCATACTCATGTGAGCTAACTAGTTGTGTTATTTCACCTTTCATCTTTTTTATGCCTATTTATCATCAGGAAAGAAAATGTATCATATCATTTGAAGTAATCTCTGTATAGCAAGATAAAAAGTATGGTCCTTGAAATACATAGATAAAGCAACACTTGCAAGAGTTATATTTCATGAATTTCAGTTGAATTGTTCACTTGTCACTAATCTTACTTTAAACCTTGAAAGTTTTATATACATTCCAGATTCTATTTGAATATATGGAATTCATTATTGTGAGATCAAAGAACTCCAGTTTAAGCCCTAAAACTAATCATGTATTGTAAAGGTAATAGTTTTACAAAGGCCAATGTGGTACAGTGGTAACACGAGAGGGGACTAGCAGGGTCTAATAGAAGCAGTTTCCAGGCCAGCTACAGGTCAGATTTAGAAAGGGCATCCCCCTAGGGTTAGGTATGAATTGGCCATTTGAAAATTGATCAGTAGACACCCTTATGAGCGAGAGGAGTTTGTGATGTTAAACTGATCATTAAATCTTGATCCCAAGGGAAGCAAATTGGAGAAAAGGCATCATAAACATTATTAACTGTTTGGAAAACAAGGGTGGTACAAAATAAAGTGTGGGATGTTTATCAGAGGTGATGATATTTGAGACAGATGAACCTTCAGGTTTCCAGTAATATAACATATTGATAAGAAAATGATACATCTTTTCTATATTTCCATCCTTTTTTTTTCTATCCATCCAACTATCCAAATATCTACAAATACACATTTCACACATATAAATACTGTATTGTGTGAAGCATCAACTTGAGACTTGGGGCCCAAACCTTAAGACATCCTATGTATTTTTTATTTACAAAGAAACCGTAAATCCCAAGTTTCGCATATTTCTATTGAGAAATTATATCCCTTAGGTAAATTGTTAAATCAAATTATAAGATATTTCTATATGGAGAGTATCCTTTTTTTCAAGTAATTCACAATTCATAAGTAAATTGCAAAAACAAATCATGAAATTGTTTCAAATGAGAAGCATACCTTTTTTCAATTCGTAAGTTCCCTGTGGTGTCTTTTCTGCCACAGTGCAAAATCAGGTACAGTTTGAGTTTTTAATCGACCTGAGAGTTCTATTGGATTCAGTAAATTGGCTGAACGACTTTAATTTTACATTTAAAAATTGAATTATACAAAAGCAAGTAGATAGGAAAGAAGCTCATCATAAGGGGCTTTAAACCAGAAGTACTGGCTAAATAGTACGAAAATCACACTGGTATATTTCTTGGAATCACAAAGAATGGATCAGTTTCCACAGAACATTTTCATAGGCTTTATCTAAGTCAAGTAATTGTGATCATAGTTCTTCTGTTATACATATCAATGCCCCTCCCCCAATTTCATTAGTTATTGTATTCTCCTGTTATTGTGTTTCATCATCTTATGCATTTATAATGGTGACGCCCCCACTCCCTACCCATTACATGTGTGAAATCATATTATCTGGAAAAAGAGAAAAAGTCAACCTCAAGCTACACAGTACACTGAGTCACTGTTTAACTAAATATTACTTTCTAAATTAACTGTGTGAAATGTGATGGTTACAGAACTTTACTATAAATCTTAAAATATTCATATCTGATGTATATGCATAAAAAACAGTATGGTTAGTTTAACCATATGACATATGACATATCAGTATTAACTGACCTAAAGTTGATATGTAAAGGATGGGAAGAGTCAAGGCTTGAACAGATAAGAGGATTCTGTTTATATATATATATATATATATATATATATATATATATATATATATATATATATATATATATATATATATATATACACACAATCGATGAACAAAAAAAAATTTACCCAACAAAAATAAATAAGTCACCCCTTACCTCCATATTTTCTCTAATACACTACATCTTTACGTTTAATCAACAGATGGCGTAATACTCCATATCCTCACTTTTAATCAACAGATGACGCTTATAACGGGGGGGAAATAAGCATCACACTATTCACAACACGAATTCAAGATAATTTTCCCCGCTTCTTCCGAAGACAGTGTCCCTTCCTCCTACACTTCTTGCCTTGCAGCCGATACACAAGGCCTCAGAAAACATTGCAAATTGGACTCGGAAATATTGCATGCCATTGTACTCAAAACATGTCATATACGATAAGGGTAAGATGTGCGCTGATGAAATATATGTATGTTTGCTTGTATTGGTCGTTTCATAATCGCGTAAATTAGAGCATAAGAAAAAAATGAATTAGAGTGTTTTCACGGGGATAAGATTAGACTTTCAAAAGCAATAGAAAATAGGCTCTTTGTATATCTTTTTCGTGATTTCTTGTAAAACACAAGAGATGAAATCACATAAGATGCATTCCAGTTAAAGATAGAAAGTGAAATTATATTAAATTCATAAGTACCGTACTTATGCAACTTAAACACTTCCATACCAAGATCAGTGCCGGTAGGACTCTATAGTAGATAGTTGATATATGAGAATAAGGTCAACAGGACTAGGGTTAAGACAGATCAGTGGGGTAATGCAGGTCAGGCAGTTGGCACTACTAAAGGATTTTGGTATCCCTGAATTGCATTTAATGTACATTGTATATTAGGAATATAAATCTTTGTTTTGGGGAACCACCTCCTCTTGTGTCAGTATTGGTTATGACTAGAAATTCTGCCTTTGTACCTATTGACACTTTGGCAGACAACCAAATCTGCAGTACATGTGTCCTAGCTCTATAGAGGGTTTAAATCTCTTTGCCCTTTTGTTATTGTCATTTTCTCTCATTCTGATTTTCTCTGTCACCCCTTTGATTGTTGTTGTTGTTTTTTCTTGTGTGTTAGGAGCTCATTCCAAGTGAATAAATAGCTTCTGCACATAGAAGTTATCTAGCAATAGTATTTATTTATATATATTTCACTATGTTCTTTCTGTTCCAGCTTGTACGGCCACTGATTGCGCAGTATCAGAGTTCCTTCGCAAGTAAAATTCCAAGGACCAGAGGGCATACCTTCCAAAATGGAAATGCCAGCATTAGCCTTGACCAAATATTCCTCCAGTGCAGAGGCATGGCAGGACATTCCAAGTGGGCAAATATTAAACACACAAAAGCTGCCAAGGATGCTGAAAGACAGAAGAAATTTATGAAGTGTTCAAGGCTCATAAAGCTTGCTGTTAAAGGTATGTTTTGTTAATTTAGTTATTTCATTATTTTGTATTACTTGATGATTTGCTTGATCTAACCTCAATGAAGTTGATTTTGACAATAAAGCTACAATTTTTGATGGATTTTCAATTAGATTGTGTGATGATAGAAATACATACAGGGTATATCTCGTAAGTTCCAGCTGTTGAGATATGAAAATATGATAAAGTTGGTAATGGTGTATATTCAAATATTTCTTGGGTTATTTCATCTGTAAGATGATTAAGATACAGTGATAGTAAAAATATGGTAAATAAATGTGAATATTACTGAGTGGTATAGGCAGTTTAATTGCTGATATGATAATATTTAGTATTAATTCTTGTAACTTTATCAATTATTTTTTTATAATTTCAAAATAATCCCTGAACTGCCAGATGTAAAAACTCTAATGTGCATCGGCTTTCCCAATTTATTTATAGGCTAATTCTTACTTTTCATTTCTTCAACACAGAAGGTGGAGGTGCAGACCCTAAGCTGAACTCAAAGCTAGCCAAAGCTATTGAATTTGCGCGGAGTTGCAGCATGCCTTTGGCATCCATCGAAAGTGCATTGAAAACATCTCAGGTAAGTTTTATACAATTATTTCACTGTAAATGAAAAATTTTATATGAATTTGTTGATTTATTAATTCATTTGAAAAAAAAAAGTGGAAGAAAAATTTGAGTAACGAAGAAAAAGGAATAATTATGGTGATGACGGTAGTTTTCGTAATTTTGATAATGGTGATAGTGATGATGTTACCGTAAGTAAGGATGATGATGACGACAGTGATAGTAGTAATGAAAGTAATGATAATAGTTTTGATAGTAATAATGATGATAAAAAATAATGACAATGATAATATGTTGTTGTTGATGGTGTTACTATTATTACTATTGTTTCATTATTATTGTTATGACTATGGCTATGTCTATGACAATGACTATGGCCATGACTATATATGACTATGACTGGCTATGACTATGATGATGACTGACTATGATTATGGTTATTATGATTCTTATGATTATCATAATTATTATTTATTATTAATTTATTATATTATTATAATACTTTTCTGTATGATAACAGTGATAATAATTATTGTTATTAATTTTTTTTTGTTGGTACTACTATTTTTTATTATTGATATTGATATTGTTAGTAGTAGTAGTAGTAGTTGTCTCATTATTGATAGTATTGTCATTGATGATGATAGTGTTGATATTATGATCAGATCTGAATAATGATTATACTGACAATGTTAGTGATGATAATAGTGATAATGAGTGATAATGATGTATGGAGTAACGGTCAATGAGCAGGTAGTAAATAGTGACATTATGATCAGATCTGAATAATGATTATACTGACAATGTTAGTGATGATAATGCTAGTGAAAATAATGATAGTAATTATAGTAAGAAGGGTAATAATGATGGGAGCAATAGTAACGGCAACAATGATTCATGGTAGTAATGGTGATGCTTATAGTATAAAATGATATTGATAATGTATAACAATCATTAACTGTTAGACAAGATTTTTAGATTAGAT